AAATCACCATGATTACATCGCGTATTTATTTGATAGGCATAATTTTGCCAACTCGATAATTTTATTTACAAAAACCCAAAACCTAGTTAATAGTATTGATACAATAATTGGTATAACAACCTTAATACAGATTATTGATAAAATTATATGCATCATGATTGGGATATACGTATTAATTAATGCCGATGTATTAATCGGAATAAACGTATTGACCAAAATTATTGTTTTCACCACTTTAATTGATGCGTTCACTATAATAATCAGTTGTTTGGTGTGCGATGGCCTAACTAGCAGGGTAAATAAAATCAAAGATACATTGAGCGAGATTAATACATGTGAGTTGACGGCTACAGAGTTTAGGCAATGGCTTAAATTTACGAATATTGTTGAAACGCACTCCACGTTTGGGTTCACTATTGCGGGCTTTGCTGCCATTGATAAGCAAACACTCATTTCGGTTAATATATTAAATATATATTTATTTTAATTTTAACAAATTATCAATATTAATTTGATTGATTTATTTTAGATTATTACGTTTATATTAAATTATACAATCATTATGGTTCAAACGTTAAATTAAACAATAAATTTGTAAAATAAAATAAATATTTTAAATTAATACAATTGTAATTAACATTATACGTTTGGCGTTTGTATTGAATTATATTGTACTATTATTTTATTACAATCAAAAAATAAATGTTGTTAATAATCATATTTAATTTATATATTAATTATTATAATAATGTTAAATAATTATAATTTATAAAAATAATGTTAATGATAATATAAATTTATTAATATAATAAAGTGAAGTTTAAACAAAATATAATTAAATTTAAGTCGCGAACCATTAAATAAATATGGTTTAACATTTTAATTACAATATTTATTGATTAATTATTGTGTTACAACTTATAAGTATTAATGAATATTGTAAATTTACAATTATTATTATAATAATAATTAAAACAATAATTATGATGATTTGGTTGTCTGTAATAAGATGACGGTATAATTGAGAATAAATATTAAAATCTATAGTTTGTAAATAAATAACTCATTAGTAAACAAAATAAAATAATGACTGCAATTACCGCAATAAGTGTAGATTTGTTAAGTACAGTAAACCCAGCAATAGTGAAACCACATGTGCCCGAATTTTTTACGATATCCTTAAACAACAATAATTCCCGGAACTCCCGGTCCGTGAGTTGGTCACCGTTGACGGCGTCCAACACTTCCCTAATGTCATCCAATTTCGTGTCGACGGAACCGCATATCAGACACGAGACCACCAGTTGTACAGTGAATGATACCGACGACAGCGCTATAACTGTGGACATTGACTGCATGTTTTGCCATAAGGATGTGGTCACGTATATGGACATCATTATGGCACAAATGACCACGGTAGTATTGATAAACAGATTATGAGCAAGTTGGTTATCAAAGAATTTAGTGTAAGCCTTTATTCTTAACACTAATTGTTTATTATAGTGCAATATTTTAAACTTATTGTTTAGATCTTGTTTATCTGAAAAATACAAATTATTATTATTGGTAAATCAATTTATTTTAAGTATTAACATACAGGTAAATAAAGTAAATAAATTCCCGGTTATTTTGTCAAATATATTACCAGCTAGTATAGAAATAATCCAGGTAATTCCGGATGTGAGCCAAACTTGCCATATCATATGATATCTGTCAAAAATTTGAAGTGAATGATTTGTAATGGTAAAAGTAGTAGTTATAACATCATGCAAGCACATGCCCGTTAAAATTAGTGTGTTAAGTAACCATAGTGAAAAACATATCAAAAATTGCCATTTAATTTTTGAATTGGGATCCAGATATTGGCCAAATTTATTACCAATATTTGCGATTAACTTAAAACCTTTAATATTATAATAATATAAGGTATAGGCTCGCAAATATCGGATCGATACCAACATTAAAATCATCAAGGCCATTACAAAAATGGAATATTCTTTGCTGTTAAAATACTGGTAAGATTGCATTGAAGTAAATACAATTTGCCCAAACATTACTACGAAATAGCAATAACCATAGTATTTCCATAGGGTTGATATGTATGGGCGACTGTTGTCTAATTTAATGTTAAATCCACCAAATGTTGCCCCAAACACCCGGTTCACCCATAATGTAAATATAATAAAGTAGTTTAAATGTGAATTTATAAATTTAAGCATTGTGAGTTTGTGGTTTACTTGAACTATGACTTACTAATATAACTGTAGATCTATTTAGTTTTATACTAATTTACTAAAAGTCGACCGTATGTTCGTATAGAAACATAAAATAAACATTATTATGGATAAAATGCGTTTTGTAAATATGTTACCTTATTTAATTATATTCCTTTTTAAATATTATTTAATTAAATTAATAACAAACATTTCATAAAATTACTTTATTGAGTTATAGGGTATATACGATATTAAACATAACAAAGCAATGTTTTGCGTCATATAATTGCTTACAAAGTGATTGATTTTGATATAGTTTTCGATCTTTTTAACGAACCGATTGATGGACTGTGGGGTCCGATAGACTCACCCTTTGAAGCGTATTTACCCGTATTTCAGAGGCCCTCAGGTTTAGTAAACTTATAAATAAATTACTAAACCCAAGAGCATCTGAAATAAAGGCAAAAATGTGGGTTCATTTCCATTCACTTAGTTATACCGGAAAATCAATTGACAATTAATGCAAAATGCAATTTTAGTCACTGTCACCATCTTCATGTGAATTCCGGCGCACATTATATGCAAATAATCTCCAAATATTACGGCTATTGTTTTGTTTAGCCCATCATTGATTATGCATTAATACCAGAATCAAATTGTCAACTATAGCAATGATTGTGGGTGAATAGTAGCATGATCGTCTTGTTGGTATTTTGGGTATGAATAGAGATAATCCAATTCTGTACAATTCATCCATATGCTGATTGTATCGGCAATTTTTTATTCTGGTGTTGATTATGGTTTTGGCTTTCCTTTCAAAATATTAATTAATTAAATTAATAACAAACCTCTTATGAGATTATTGAGTTATAGGGTATATACGATATTAAACATAACAAAGCAATATTTTGCTTACAAAGTGATTAATTTTAAAGACAGTTTTTGCTTTTTAACAAACCGATTGAGGGATTGTGGGTCCGATAGACCCACACATTGAAGCGTATATCAGATGCTCTCGGGTTTAGTAAACATTTTAATAGTTTACTAAAATAAAAGTAAAAATGTTGGTTCAATTTCATTGCGATTCCAATTCTAGCTTGACGAAATGCTGAAATTTTAGTTTATATTATATTAACAATAAATTTATACAAATATTTTTAAACTTATATGAAGTATCGTTACAACTGCAAGGTGATCTAAAAATTTATTTTAAGATATTATTAATATCATATTAATGTTGAAAAACATATTTATAAAATTTATATCTTTTATATTTACTCATTAATAATAAAATATAATTTATTTTATGATAATGCAATTTTATAATAATAATAACTATTATATTTTTAACTTAACATTTGAAAAATATTTTTAACATATATTATAGCAATACAATGTTATAAACTTTACTTATATAATGATGTTATTACACTATGTATATTACATTAATGTAAAAATGCATTTTATATTACTAGTATACCAATCAATTCTATCCTATTACCGTATTACGCCGCATATAGGTGCATACTTTCACAGATTTTGCATATCACCAAAACTACCGCACCTATATCCGGATATAAGTGCACCTAATGTGTAAAAATCACATATAGGTGCAAAAAATTTATTCTTCAAAATTATTTATAAAAGATTAATAAGTAAATGAGTAATACATTCATTAATAATTAAAGCAAATATGTAAATATTTCATGTTGATTTTAACAATTTTATTAGTAGAATTGATTACTTTTAAAGTATCACTTGAAAATATGTCCATAGTTTGAGACATTTTACACAAATGTACTCAACCTTTTATAAAACTCACTATTTTTTTTAAGAAATTACACATATATTTTAAACATTTAGCCCCACTTTTGTGTTAAAAGTCTAATTACAGATCCTATGATTTTCATTTTAATGTATATGTATATTTCAACTAAAATGTAGAAATTGTCTCAAAAAGTACCGCACCTATATTTGGATATAGGTGCACCCCTTGTGTGAAAACTCACTTATAAGTGCATGCACCTATATGCGGCGTAATACAGTACTAGAATTTACAATTATTTTGAACATAAAATAATAAATTATTCTAACTGAAAAACAAATTAATCATGTCATATCGTGATTACCATAATTACTAATTTTAATATAATAAATATATAGAAACCCAAGTTTTTATATTTATTGCATTATATACAGTACAGTTGTCATAAACATATGATAAATGAATTATTTATAATTACAATAGATTTGAAGAGAATTATGTTTATAAAATTATTTCCCCCCCATCACAAAAATAAGCATTATAATTTTTTGAAAAATTACATTTATCGGTTTTGTTTGATGTTTAAAATGTTTTAAATTTTCAGTTTATTCAATGCATCATGTAAATTTCATGATGTAACATGCCCAAACATTTTACAATTTGTTAAATTTTGTTTTTAAAACAAAAGTGAATCAAATTATATTTGCAAAAAACCCCGTATATAAATGTAATACTATTTACTCACATAATAATGTTGATGTTATAACAATGATTAAATTAATTGTAATAACATATGGTGGTTTACTATATATGAAATACACAATGAAAATTCTTAGGAATATGTTCTGCAAAAATATGCTAACTTAAACTATTTACAATTATTAAAACCACAATATTCAATATAAATTCAAGTAATTTTATTATATATGAACAAACAATTCAATTGATTATTTGTAACATTTATCAATTATTTATTAAAATAAAATAATTTTAAATAATTAATTAATTAAAAATGTCATATGCTAGGTTTGTATTTATATAATTATAATTCGTGTAGAATTGTAATTATTCTAGTAAGATATTGTACTTATTAAGTTTTAGAGGTTTTAGCACACAATCGTATGGGTGTGGTAAAAGTGATCGAGATCTTGAATATGTGCGTTTCATAGACTTACTTGATAAAACACTTTTGCTTAGTAAGTAGATAATAATTTAAACAATCTTATTTAACCAAACACATCAATCTATTAAAATAATCTAGATGCTAATAAAACTGCATTTATTAGCCAATATGAAAACATAAGCAAAACGTATGGCGATATAAAGGATGATGTTAATAAAGTCGTATTACAAATACACGCTCTTGGTAAATGCAATTATAAATAAATACTAAATTCAATAGTGATATTTATGCTTGTGTTTACATCAAGGTCTTAACAGGGGCGATGTGGCTGGAATATGGAGTTGTAATTCATATAGCTGGGTATTTGTAATTCTATTTTAAATTGTTTTACTAATTAAGAGCATTATACTTTGTTAAACAATCAACAAGATGCCCATTGTATACGCGTGTAGCAAATTGGGTATTGTTTTGTGTCCAATCAATCAGGCGTACAAATATCAAGAATTGGCAAACGTGTTAAAATTAGCACAGATTAAGTTACTATTTATGCCCGGTTTAAATAGTTCCCAGGATCATGTAAATGAATACCATGTGGTTTTATTAGAGGCACTTAACTGGACAGATATTGTATATAGATCTTGTTTATTTTAACTATATTATTTCAAGTTATTTATATTGTATTTATTGATTTGAACAGGATGATGATGATCCGATAATATTGCAACATATTATTTCAATTTGTGGCCAGGGTTTTAAAATTACACATGATAAATATACAATACGCACGCATATACTATACAAGGCAACTGTGCATTATACAGATAATATATTGGATATATCCAGCGCTCAGGTGTCGCCCGAAGATCCAGCTTTTATATTATTTACCTCGGTAAGTTAATTAGCATTGCAATATTTATTAATTTAAAAATTATTGGACTAGCGGATTTCTAATTATTTCCAAATGAAATAATCAAGATTGAATCTTAAATTTTTGGAAATTTGCTAAACTAATAGCTTTTAAACAATTAAATAATAAAATAAAATTAATATTTTAGGGAACTACAGGAAAACCTAAAGCAGCATGTTTATCTCAGTTTAGCTTTGGTAAATAAAATTTGGTTTTATATTAATATAACAAGATGATTTACAATATATTTCTATTTAATAGTCAATAACGTGATTCAAACCTGTCGTACATTTTCTAACCATACAAAAACATTGTGTTGCCCTGTGCCATTTTACCACTCCATGGGCCTGCATGCAATACTTGCTATGTGCGTCTATCCAACTAAGCTAGGTTAATTATTTATGAATAAATGATGCTTATTTTTATAGATTTTAAATTGTTAGTTTAAAAATAAAATTTTATCATGATGATTAGTGATCACAAACTGCATGCACAGTAACAGTCAATTGGTGAACACATTAACTCGATACAAATGCACCGACATGTTTGCCACACCAGTAATGGTGTCAGATATGTTGAGTTATTTGGAAATCAACAGGGTTTGTTTGCCAGACTTGTATGGCATCACCATGGTTGGTTCACCAGTGAGCAATGAGTTAGCCACTCGCATTCCGCTGGTTTTACCTAGATGCACCGGTGCTCGAGTTTGTTATAGCATTACTGAAACAAGTATTATTAAATATGCATTAGTAGAAGTTATAATAAGACTAAATTAGAATATTTTTATAATAAACCAGGTTCATCTCAATGTATATCGAATTATATTGATTGCTCCTATTTTCGTCTTGAAACTATTGGTAATATAGTTGTTGCAAAAATTGTTGAATTAAATTTGATTTATTTAGCAAGTTTATATAATAAATCATTTATGCAATAAATTGTATCAAGGTCGCCCCCTTGGACATACGGAAGTTAAAATTGTTGATCCATCAACTGGTGGTGTTGTTAGGATTGGCGAGCAAGGTGGTTTAATTTAAAATGTTTATTGTTAACATTAATCTTAATATAATTTCATAATGATGTTTTAGGTGAATTGTTAACTCGTGGATTTAGCCAGATGCTTTATTACTGGCGCGATGAAATTAAAACCAAGGAGGTAATTGATAATAATGGCTGGTATATTACCGGGTACGTTTATAAAAAATACAATATTGTTTTATGTAAACATTTTGTATAATCATACTTGTAATCTAGCGACATGGCGGTAATGGACGAGCATGGTTATTTAAAAATATGTGGTCGTATTAACGACATGATAATTGTTGGCGGCGAGAATGTCTACCCACAAGAGGTGGAAGATGTTTTACGGAAACACTATATGGTTAACGATGCATACGTGAGCAAGTTCAATTTTTTGATAAAGTCATTTGAAAAACTTTATTATTATGATTTTTTATTAAGGTTATTGGTGTGCCCGATAATAAAAAAGGTGAAGAGATATGCGCTTGGATAAGATTGAATCAGCTTGATCATATGCCCAAAGAGAATGCGTTGAGATTGTTTTGTGAACACAGGGTATTATTTTTAAATTAGATATTTTAAATACTTTCATTGTTAGAAGGTATTACATAATTTTTGACATACAGTATTAATTTAAAAAAACAATACTATTGTGTCTAATATTGACAATAAAATGTTTTAACAAAAGTAATTATAATTTATTTTAGATGGCTAAATACAAAGTGCCCAGGTATATTATGTTTGTGGATACTTTTCCAGTATCATCGACTGGAAAAGTGCAAAAGTATTTAATGAGAGAGCAATCGTGTCGTATATTAGGTCTGAAGCTGTGATGATAATAATGTTTGCAGACATTATCATTTGAATTACATTAAGCAACAAATAATTATGATGTAAACTGTTTTTGAGCTATGTTTAGCACATATGCAAATATGTTTTAATATGTATATGCATCAATTAAATAATATTTGAATTGTTATTTTATTTTATAAAACTATTAAAATTTTATTAAATGTATACAGTAAATATCAAACTTGCTAAATTAAAATTTAATAAATAATGTGCTACATCAATCAATTGTCACTAGTATCTAAACTCTATAACACTTGTTTAAAATGTTTCAAAAATTATAAATATAATTATGAGAGATTTTAAAAGCCCGTATAGTTTAAATATTAGTTCAACAATTTAAACTATAGTAAAAATTATTATCAACATTATGGAATCCAGGTATGAAATATTAATTATTTAAGTTAAAACACTATGGATTACTAATTCACCAAGCTTACTTTTATTATTAGTTGCTCAAAGTATTCATACGCTTATGGCAATAGTGATCATGGTCTAAAATATTTGCGTGCTACCGATGTGCTGGACAGAATAACTTTATCAAGTCAGTATTTTAAATAATTCTGATAAATTTATACGTCGATATAATCTATATTATAGATCCAACTAAAACAGCATTTATTAGCGAATACGAAAATATTACCAAAACATACAGCGAACTCAGCAATGATGTTAATAAACTAGTTCAACAATTATTTAATCTAGGTAAAAATTAGTTATGCGACAATGCTAAATTATAGTATATTAAATTCATTCAACATGTTATAGGCCTTAAGCGTGGAGATGTTGTTGGCATGTGGTGCGGAAATGCATATAGCTGGGTAAATAATAAATTATTATATAAATAATTATAAATAAATTTTTATATAAATAATCAAGTTAAAAATTTATTTTAATTTACTATGTATAGATACCATTATTTTACGCGTGCGGAAAACTAGGCATAATACTTTGCGCAATTCACCCAACATATAAATCCCAAGAACTGGACCATGTTTTACGGACAGCACAAATTAAAGCCTTGTTTATGCCCGGACCTAAATCCGATCATTATGCAATTAACGATTTTTATTCTGTTTTAATGGACACATTAAACACGGATAGTAATCATCCGGATGAGTTGCTATTAAAACATATTATAATAACTGATGGTGCTAAATTTGAGATATGTTCAAAAATTAGCAATATAAATGTTGAATTATTATTTAATCAAAATGGTAAAAATAGCAATATACCTCAATCAGTATTTGACATTGTTGAACCGGAGGATCCTTTTATTATCATGTTTACATCGGTAATTTAATTAATTAAATTATTATTGGTTTTTATTAACAATTGTTTACATTGTTTAATGTCAACAAATTTTCTTAACAGGGTACCACAGGGAAGTCTAAAGGAGCGTGCTTGTCGCAATTTACCATGGGTAAAACCTTACTAAAATTGTTTAAAAATTGTTGTTCATTTTAAGTTTTATACTGGTAACATTTTGCAGTAAATAATGCATTAATAATTGGGCGCACGTACGGCAATTATAACAAGGTACTTTGCTGTCCAGCGCCATTCTATCATGTGCTAGGCATGGATGGCATTATGGGTATTTGCGCGCATCCAACGACTCTAGGTAAATTAGTACAAGTAATTTATTTTATAGCTACATTATTATTTTATTGAATTTATATAATATGTAACATTGCAACACATTCTAGTTGTACCAAGCTGCAGATACAGCACTAGCAATATGGTCGCTTCGATGATCAAGCACAAATGTACAGACATGTGGGCCATACCAACTATGCTGTCAGATATGTTGTCCAACGTTCAAAGCAAGCAAATTAATCTGGTACATTTGCGGAGTATAATGTTGGCAGGTGCACTCGTCACTCCAGAATTAGCAGCTAGATTAAAGGCGATTTTACCAAAATGCACCGATGCTAGAGTTTGCTACGGCGCTACAGAAATATGTATTATTTAATTTATATAATTGTAACAATTTTTAAATTGGTTATTTAATTTATGATGTTAAATATAGGCGGTGGATTTACCATATCAAACTTTAATGACACCAATGAACATCGCCTTGGTACCATAGGTAATTTATAAATGTACTAGGTGTTTTAATTGATTTTAAATTTACGGTGTTTTTGCTTTTAAGGTCGACCAGTTGAAAATCTGGAAGCTAGAATTGTCGATTCAAACACGGGCAACATAGTCAAAGTTGGTGTGGCTGGTTAGTATCTTACAATGTTTAGTCATTTTAAAACTAAGCGAGATAACTTTTAATATGTAATATATAGGTGAAATTCAAGCACGTGGTCATAGCCGCATGATTGGTTATTGGCGTGAACCTGAAATGACCAAGGCCGCATTTGACGAACGCAACTGGTACAAAACTGGGTAAATTGTTATAAAAATACTTGTTAATTAAATACTTTATTTGGTAAAGACTGTAAATTAATATAAGATCTATTAAATGACTAACTGTTTATCATAGCTTAATTTATATTGGATTAGAAAACGCCTACATTTCTAACTTTTTTATGCATACAATTAATGTAATTATAATTAATAAATTATGGACATTATACTTAAAGTAGATCAATATTAAGTCTATTAACCTAATGAATAGCAAACAAAAACCATGTTTATTTAAAAAAATAATTTCAATAAATATTTAAAAATGTTAATTCTATATAAAAGCGATATGGGTACAATGGACGAGCATGGCTATATTAAGATTGCTGGCCGAATAAAAGACATGATCATTGTTGGCGGTGAAAACGTTTACCCACAGGAGTTAGAGAATTTACTTCGCGAACACCATGATGTCCTAGATGCTTATGTAAACATGATGTAAAATATTACTATGTACAATAAACATTTAAAATTTAATAGGTAGTTGGCGTTCCGGATAAACGCAAGGGCGAGGCTATATGCGCGTGGATTCAATTAAAACACCACGATGTTAATAATAATCTAGCTGACAAATGTGACAAAACCACCGAGAATGAAATAAAAGAATATTGCAAACACAAGGTAGCATAAATTAGAAATTAGTAATTATTATGTTATAAATTATAACTTATAATCAATGAAATAAACTGATGAATAAAATGATTAAAAATATAACTAAATTAATTTTAGATGGCACCTTACAAAGTACCAAGGTATATATTATTTGTGAACTCATTCCCATTGTCACCGGTTGGCAAAGTGCAAAAATATTTGATACGCCAACAATCGGCTATTATATTTGGTGATGAGATATACGGTCAGAAAAATTATCCTAATGTTAATAATTAAAAGTACAATACAATTTATATTGAAATAAATAAATTATTTATAATTTAATTTTTTTGTTAGATGTTAAACAATATATTTATTAAACACATTGTAAGACTTATAATATATGCATAAATTTAATAATAAATAAAACAAAACAATCACTAGCTTAATAAACTAAATAAGCAACACGTTTTAGATAGCCGTACGGACTGTGCCGTAACATGTCATTTATCAATTGTACAAATTGGATTATAAATTATTAGTAATTAGTAAAACTATAAAGCTTGTTTCTAGATTTAAATAAATAGGTTAATTACAGTATTCTCTATTAGCATTCATGATATACATTAAATGTGTTTAAATCTATTTGCAAACTAGAGTGCGTTATTTGATTTAAAACTAGGTTCTTATCACTCGATACCTATGTATTAAAAACGCTGGCGTATGTAGAAAGTATAAAATTGACATGGTTACATAACCCAAAAAACCCACCACCTTGAAATTAAAGCTATAATCAGCGAATGGTACCGGTATTGCAATCGTAGGTCTATCTAAAACGAACTCGATTAATATTAGCGTCACCATGTACGCATAATTTATTGCCAATACAACAAACGCGCATACATTGCGCTGTTTTGTCAACGCCAGGGAAATCCGACGGTTGTTATCGTAATTTTGGTTCAATGGACTCAATATACCGGTTCCGGCGGCGACCAAACAGCCCCAGAGGCGGCTCTCTTTGGCCGACAATTGGCGTGTATTGAACTCGTATTGCGAGTTATCTATGCGTCTGTCGTTAATGCTAGTGTCGTATGCTGATTCCGGGGCCGCTACCGTAGTCTCTCGCGTGCCCCAAGTGACCACGTTCATGTTGAGCAGCGAGTAGAGGGGCACCAGCATGTCCATTAACGGCGCGCAAAAATGGTAGATAATCGCCGGCACAATCGTTGCAGACATTCGCACATTACCCGGATCGATGAGCGCGGCCACCGTGAATATCACGCAATTTGCCATAAACGTGGTAAAAGTGGCCAAATGATGGACGCTATTTGCGTTCGCTAATTGGTACAGCGTATTCAGTAAAGCGCAGATCAGTGTTAGCCCATATAGAGAGCACAACCGTTTTATCGCCATCATTTGTATGTTATTCGCCGCGCGCAAGCATATAAAACAATACGTGGTAAATATAGCCAAATTGGCCACGTAGGCCAGCCGGGCCGGTACGTTAAACACTGTGCTATGAATTACCGACACCGTTAGACACACACTGGCGGGCGTTAATATTGTTATGAGAACTGTTGCCCATATATAGCATATGAAAAGCCAAGAAACGCGCCGATTGCTCTTAGTAACTAAATTACTAATTAGTATTAGGTGAACGTAATTAATGATTGCCGACGTTATCCATCGTTGCCGTTGGCCAACAAACTCTTCAATTGTGTTCGGTGTGTAAACGTAGGCCACGGAGTTTGGACAGTACTCTATGAGCCAACCTATTGTTTTTGGTGAGCCATCGTTTAAGACAATAATTAAATGAACTGCAGCCCATTACTACATACCACGCTTGATAAGCAGAGTAGTCATCCACCGGTCCTCTCCTTTATGATAATAACGTGTAAAACAATTTGTTAAATTAATATTAAATTATTAATAGTAGGTTATAAAGCAGTAAAAACACTGTCTCTCTCTCTCTCTCTCTCTCTCACACACACACACAATAAAATTCTATAAAATCTCTTAGTGAGAATTATTATTTTATAATAATTGTACAATCAATGCAATTGTAGAATAAATACAGTATACAATATGACACAAAATAATGTACAATAAATAGTGGCCTCACCCTGGTTATAGAGTATTTGTGTGAAGGCGTTGTACGAGTCGCTCGAATACTCGGCCATCACATCCAGTATAGCCGCAGCCCTGTATAGGGTATAACATCCGGGAGAGCATAAAATACTACCGCAAATATTTTCAAACGTTTTTTTAAACCAATAACGCACTATATGGTCAAACTTTTGGTACATAACTATCCAATTGAACCAATTGTTACTAATTAACCTTATTCTGCCCGAAATGGCGCCGATTTGTGGATTTTTAATGCATTTGTCAATTAAATTAAATATGGATTTTGGGGGACAACTGGTGTCGCCGTCCAGTGATATCAGCATTACTTCGGCCGCATTCACGCCCATTGTATTCACGTATGTTTTCAGTAGATTCATATACATTACTTGAGACCACCGCTTGCCTAACAATTACCATGTATATATATTTTTTAACTGTTTTTTACCTCAAGTTATTGCTAACCAAGTTATCGGTCTCTCCCTCTATAATAACTTACGTAAAACAATACAAAATAACTCTCAAAGTGTGGCACATGTTATCACACAGCAAAGGAGTTTGCCCATTTGTGAGATTGCGGGCACTTTGGATTTATTGTGATAAAATGAAAGTACACTCACTATTAAATGTCATGATATTCTTCATCTGGTCAGATGACCTCGGGTTCGGCCGCAGTGACCACTTTTATCGGGAAAATTTTGAAAGTCAAATCCTTAATTTCATGAATCAAAGAGTCCGAAGAATACGTTTTCGCCATTTTTACCACAAAATCAATTCATAACTCAATTAACCTTTTTTTACCTCAAGTGATTTCTGTTCATGTGATCGGTCTCTCCCTCTATAATAACTTACGTAAAACAATACAAAATCCCTCTCAAAGTGTGGCACATGTTATCACACAGCAAAGGAGTTTGCCCATTTGTGAGATTGCGGGCACTTTGGATTTATTGTGATAAAATGAAAATACACTCACTAATAAATGTCATGATATACTTCATCTGGTCAGATGACCTCGGGTTCGGCCGCAGTGACCACTTTTATCGGGAAAATTTTGAAAGTCAAATCCTTAATTTCATGAATAAGTATATCATATTATATATCAATCGAAAGGTATGGATGAGAGGAATAAAATTTTAAAGGAATTTCCCAATTTGGACATAATTGAAAAAAAAAGTTATATAAAAAATAAGAAAGTTACTAACTCTTTTGCACGTTTTTTAAAATAACAAATAACGTAATTATTTAGCATCATTTATATTAGTTTCAATTATGCTCAAAGTGATAATTAATTGATTTATATGCAATTTTTGGCATTTTACCCATTAACAAAAAGCAGTTTTACACAAATTATAAAAAATCAACTGTTACGTTTACTGATTTATTATTGTTATATTCTGATTCTACGTTAAATTCCATATTGACTTCATATATCATATGTTAGTATCGAATAGGTTGATATTTCCCGATAAAAGTGGTTACTACGACCAAACTAGAGGTTGCCTGGCCAAATGGATTATACCAGTGAACTTCTCATACAATGTACTTTCAGTTTATATGATCAAATCCCGGTTGCAAACTTAGGCCAAATCCGACATTCTCCTTTGCCCCTTAATATTCCCTCTAATCTATCCATTATATATGCGGACGTTCTTTCTGAACAGCGCTTAAAAGCATTTGTACAGTGAAAGCTATTTAAGCCACGCCCAACAACTTGGATAGCAATAACTTGAGGTAAAAAACAGTAAATGTTTTAAATTCTTTAATTAGTTACCTGTTTAGTACATGTTTATGAAACATGTAATTTATTTATTATGATTTAAATATATATTATTTTTTTAACACAAATAATATTAATGTTTAAATATTGAATAATAGAATAAATAGAGAAAATAGTTGTTGCAATACCTTTGCGAATAAGTACACGATTTTTTAAGTGAACGACCAGTTTATAATCGTGGGCTAAATGGCAATGTATTTGTCGGCCATACGGGGTGTCCATCTCCGAGAAATACACACTCTGGGCGTTAAACTGGCGATTTGTTTGTTTAATTATATCGATTAACATTTTCACATAGAAATTGTACGCAAAATATTGCTTTTCATTAACATCGAGCCCGCAATCAATGAAAGCGTCGTCAATGAATATATGGGTTTGAATGGTGTAATTGTGTCCCTGTTTTTGATTTTCAATCAATAAATTGAATATACATGCGATCAGATCGCGCATCTCATGTGGCTCTTCGTGCCATAGCGTTGGGCACAAGAATATCGTGTATTTCTTATCAATTTTTGCCACTTTTGTTGAGTGAATTGCCCATGTATTCAGTCGAATGTCATTTGTTTTATAGATGTTTGCTTTCATTTTCAAGCATTTTAATATTGACCACATTCCTCGCCTTAGCGATAATACCTAAATGTTTTAAGAGTTAGTATTAACATTTATTTTGTAACTAAAGTTAAAAAATATTTATCTAGAATAGTAATTAGTGTTAATTTATAATAAATATAATATTGTTTGTCATAATGTGAGATTTGTTTATGGAAACAAATAAACAAGATCATTTTAATAATTTAACATTATTATTAGTTAATAATAAAATTATATACAATTTACTCACATAAGTAAGAATGACGGCAAATAATTCTGGCATTTGAAATACACTCCATCTCCACTTTAGGGTCATTTGAATTAAATACATTATTTCCGGTGAAATAAGTATCAAAAACAAAGTAAATAGCAAAACATCTCGGTCACTTATTAATTCACATGTTTTATAAATACTTTTATTTATTGTTTGGCATTCAATTAGAGGTCTCTTC